GCTGAAAACGGAGGCCTCCACCTCTGTTTAATGATGGACGGTCTTTCTTCACAAAAATGGCTTCTTTAAACTCTCAGACTGAAGAAGTCTCTTGGAGGAGAGACGAAACGTTTCATTAGAGAAGAACCCGTCCAGAGGACCTGTACAATTTTTTTCTTTTTGATTCTAAAGGTTCACTATAATAAAAAAAAGTGATTTCTTGTTTCCTCCCTCTCTTTAGTCATGTGTTTAATTGTATGGAAGAACATATAAAAACTAACTTATAAATATGACATTAATATCTCAGAGTTTCTCAACAATATGACTTAGAATCTCATAAATGTGAAATACTATTTACAAATTATGCTTTAGTGTGCAGTTATGGGATCTCAAGTTGTAGTTTTGAGAAATTATTTGGAGATTGTTTAATACTGAAATCTTTAGTCATAATTAGAGTTCTGAGTACTTTTAATCGGAGTTTCCATAAAGTTGTCTCTGTGCCAAAATATACAGTAGATTTTCAACCTTTATTGTGGTATTTTACTGATATAACTCAGACAACGTTATACACTTCTGCTTAAATACTAATTACAACTTTATTAATACAGTTCTCATTAAGAATTTAATTATTCTAGATTTATAATAAGACAAGCTGTGTATATTGTGTTCAGTGATTTAAAAACCTGACTTTAGTGGCACACAGGAAGATGATTCCCATATTCACAGGAGAAGGCGTTTCTCCAGACCTGCTGCAGATTTAAATGGATGTTGAGCACAGTTTTCATTCACATGTCTCCCTCAGAGCCCTGCACCACTAATCCTCCTTTAATCCCAGTCAACAGAGGCGGAGCGAGCTGCACTTTCCTCCCTGGTCACTTCACTGTGGGACACCCTCAGGCTGCGCAGCTCGGCGTCATGTGTGTTTGTGCGGTTTCCTCCGCGGAGCAGCTTTCTGTGGGACCTTCGGTGCACTGAGAGGACGAGCAGATGTGGCTCTTTAACCATGACTGATCCCGGGAAGCAGAGCCTTCAGGTGGTGCTGGTCCTGCTGTGTGTCTGCCAGCTGACCTCAGGTATGTCTGTCTGCATCACCGCAGCCGCACTCTGCTCCTCTCAGCTCACTTCGTGCACTTTAACTGCCTCTGAAGGGTTGGCTTTTTAACCAGCATCTGCTTTCTCACACTCGTCTCCTTATGCAACATGAATCAAGTTAATTGGTTTTGTCTGGCACTTTAACTATGCATCAAAAAGAAGCATTATCATCTTTTTTTATTACTTTTTGAAGCTCTGTAAAAAGCAAAAACTAAACAAACAAAAAAGAATATTGATTTAAACTCATTATGTCACAAAGAAAGAAAACTTATATAGTAAAAATCTAAATCCACACACTTTTTTGTGTTATTTGAAGTTTTATTATTTTTGTTCGATGAGTCCTCGAATTAAAACTTTGTGATCAATTTTTTTCGACTGTCTGCCAACCACCACATGTGTTTGTTTACTATGTAAACAGGCAAAGTAAAAACAAGTCAACAATGGCAACATCCATAAAATAGGCGTTTGGGATCAGGAAGTCTGACAGTTAGGATGTGTTGTATTCATGTTCAGAACCTTTGAGCACAAAAAAGACTTTGTTTACATTGAGTGCATACCCACATTTCAGAATTATATATCAATATATCACAAAAAACTACTGGAGTAAACTCTTTCAAACTAATCCATTTGATTTWGTTTAAGATTAATTGTTTTTTGGTTTGATTTCATAGTTTGCAATAAGTATCTTAAACTTGTTTATTTTTTGTGAAGGAATTGGACGTAGAACAGGACTTTATAAGAACCACTTGGATAGCACTTTATTATTAAAAAATTCATAATTTCAATTCATAAACCTCCTGGAATATCATTGCTCTGTTTGTGTGATCTGATAATGTTTGTAGATAACTGAACTTCCAGCTGTTACATTTAGATAACTTCAGGTAACATCAGCAGGTTAAAATGAATCTGACCTGGTTCCTTCAGCTGCTATAAATAAAGAAAAAATATTGTAAATTTGGATTTTATTCAAACCTTTGTTTGATTGTGCAACAGGTCTTTTTTTGTGCCAGACATAGAGGTATCAAAATCATTATTTTTTTGTAACTAATATTTACAGCTCTCTTTTCAAGAAGTAATTATGATGACTAACTCTCTCTGATGTGTGGAAATGACCGTTTTCCTTCAGATTTTTGGGGAACCACAAAGTTTTTCTAATCTTTCTAGTTAACAGGAAACAATAAGAAAACAAATGTTATGCAAAACTTCAAGCATCAAAACCTGGATCAGCAAAAATTGCAGAAGGAAAGGAAACTGTTGCTCTCTCTACACTGTAAAAAAGGAAATGTTGGATTTACTTAACCATGTTATGTGACCTGGTTCCACTTAACTGAGTTGAGTAAAAGTAAGTCAAAGCAATATACCAGTTTTTTAACCAAAGAACGTGAGCATGTTGCTTTAAATTTACTCAACTCAGTTAAGTGGAACCAGGTAACATAACATGGTTAAGTAAATCCAACATTTCATTTTTAGAGTGTATGTAGTATTTGATTGGTTGCAGTTTTCCCACTTTGTCATGTTTGTTGWTGAAGACAAAGCAGACATTTAAAATGTATTACAACAATGTGATACAGCTTAGATCAGTGTTTCCCAAAGTTGGGGTCGGGACCCAAAGTGGGGTCCCGAAACATCAAGGTGGGGTCCTGAAAAGATTTTCTGAATTAATTACATTTTTGCCTTATTTGTTACAAAGGAGTGAGGTTAGTGTATTTAAAATGGATAAATGTAGTATAAAATATTGTTACTGTGCCCATGTTTTGTTGACCTGTTGCAAATGTTTATCATCCAAAAATAGTTGGTGGCACAGGTCTCTGCTACTGTTATTTTGTGGGTCAAAAGCTGAAAAGTTTAGGAACCACTGCACTTTGGTTCCCAAAGTTGGGCTTGGGACCCAATTATGGGTCATGAAGCACCTTGGATAATCTCCAGAAATCAATTTAAAGGGTAATAAAATAATTGCTGATGCAATATTTCCCCTATAATTATTACAAAACACAAAAAAGTATAAATAAGTATTTATATTTGTGTACAAGCTGTTTAGATTGTCAAAAAGCCTGTGTTTAGGGTTACTAACAAAGTTAGTGTACTCAGACCAGTAATATTTATTGTCACAAGTTTTTGCCATGGATATTTTGTGGGTCAGAAGATAAAAAGTTTGGGAACCACTGGCTTAGATGATATATGAAAGACATAAATCTCCTACAATATGAGGCTCTGTTCAGAATCAGAGTGAAATAAAACAGGATCAAATTAAAAGAGTTTTAATCTAAAATCATTTCATGCTGAATTATAGCCATCTTAAACTAAAAAAAAAGTTTTGCACAATATCACAAGAATTTGTTAGATCATAGTATGAGTTGAGAATGACTATCAGCTTTAAAAGTTCAAATCTGAGCTCTGAGAGAGGTAAAATATAGGTATGTGAGAGTGGCAGTTTATGGCTTGCACGGCCCCTCATACCTGCAAAACCTTGTTATAACCCAAGTTTGTGTTTACTACAGTCAGTGAAATGTACTGACTCTAAAGGTTTATGAGTTGTAGAAAAATATCCAGTGATTGCTTTCTGTAAGTGTCAATAAAACCCATCCAGTGGTTTATGGGATGTTTTGCCGGATTTGTCACACATACTGTATCTATATTAAACTAGTAGGTCTGATTTTTAAAAATATCAAGGCAGGTCTGACGGGAGGGAGAGACTGAAGCAGTAAACAGCCGGTCTGCCAAAACTGCAGCGCTGAGACAGGAAAGCAATGCTTGGGATTTAAGAAACAACAAAAACACCAACAAAGGAATGGTTGTAGCTCAGTTACACACAGAGCAACATCAAAGTTAAAAAAAAAATCTACTGTCCTTGCGTAGGTTGTTACTAAGCAACATTTATTTATAAAGTGCACAATTTAAAAAAAGGTTTCCCTGTCAGCGTTCTCTTCTGCTGCTAAAGTTAGTTTCTAATTTGTTTCTAAGAAAAAAACAAAGATGAAGAACAACAAAGTGTGACTCGTGGGGACAAGTTATAGAACGTACACGCCTTTCGCCATGAAGGGCAGGCGCTCGTGTAATTATCTGTGTGCGTGGTGGTTTGTTAGCAAAACATCTCCTGGATCATTGGACRGATTTTAATGAAACTTCTAAAAATTAATGACTGGATGTGCATCCATTTAAAATAACTCAGTTATTTTTGCAGATATTGAGGTAGAAGTTTTGTGTGGTAGTGATTAAGCCTCTCCCACAACACATACTCTGAGCACCAACAGACCACACGAGAAATATGTTTTCAACTTTGGCTAAAAAAAAAACTTTCAGCGTCAGCTCTGTTTGTTTGAAAACGAAGAGCTGTGTTTTTATTTTAGCATCATCTCACTTTGAAAGCCATCCTTTTTTTTTGATTAACAGCTTTAAAAAAAAGTCACAAACAAACACATAAACATACGTTTCTCCATACATTGTCTATTCTGGAATGCAAAAACCTAAAAACAACTTTTGCGGTGAGGAAGTAGAAGCTGTATTTTTTTTCCTAGTGATTCTCCCGTGAGAGTTGTGTTTGAGCTGGAGAAGTAGTAAAACAAAACGGTGCTCAAACATGTCCGACTCAATTTTCCTGAGGGCTTTTCACCGTCAAACTGTAATTTTGGTCTAGCCTTGCCCTCARTCCTGCAGGCAGTCTCTCCGAAGGGTTCCTTGGCCTTCCAGACTTCTGCTTTAAACACCACTTTTCTTTTCTCTCCCCCCCTGCTGTTTTTGAAATGGAGAAAACCAGAGGAAACCATCAGAATGTCTCTTTGTGTTCTGTAGTTTTTGTTTTTGTGTTTTGTGCACATGCCATTTTGATTTAGAATTTTGATTGCCTTTATTGCCAGTGTTATATTCTTGCATTATCTTATTTTGAAAAAGAGCTCATTTTGATCAAACTTGGAATTAATATGTATTTTTTTAAAATAATTTCATGTCAAGGTTTCTTGTTTAGATTATTGTGAATAATCCTCAATGACTACCAAGTCAAATTTCAGATCAAAATCTGTCATATTGACTGAATTATCTAATGCCTATTAGCTGTGATGACCACCTTGAATTGGATTAACTCCAAACACTAATCAGTTGCTGATATACTTATTATTTTCTACAAGTTTCAAGAAAATCCATACAATGATTCATAGGAGTGTAGAGTCATAATATAAAGTAAAGTAAAGTAAGTAAAGTTTTATTTATATAGCGCCTTTCACAGAAATAAATTCACAAGGTGTTGTACGTTCATGGAAGGGGGAGGGGCAGTTAAGAAACACCCATTCAAGAAGACATACAAGGCAAACATGGGGGAACAGGTGAAACCGGTCATGCAGCAAACACAGTTGCGCTAATGCTAACCTTACTGTTTTAAACATACATTGCATGATTTGTTATTGCTCATCTTGTATGTTAGCAATTAGTCTCAGCTACAAACAAAGCAAATCTTAGGTTAATATCTGTAAAACTGACTGAGTTATAGCCCTTTTTATGTTTTCTATGTCCGTCTGGCAGTGGCAGCCATCTTGAATAGGATTCATTACAGAAGTGTATGATCTGTAGATGCGTACCCATAACTACATCTCATGGTTTAATATATATTTTGTTAACAGACATRTCCACACACAGAAAGTCCGCCGTCGCTTTTGGCAGCAGCCTTTTAAATGTTTTTGTTATCATAATTTCGCTGCGTATTCAGTGTTGATAGGGGACTTGTTTTTTACTTTCCCGTTTCTGTCAAATTTTGAACCAGTTCAACAAAATCTAACTTATTTCTYTGTTTTTCCTGGGAGCAGGCAGTGTCGTCTTGCTTATCAATCACTCCAGAGCTTATCAAATAAAGCATGACAGCTCCAAGTAGAACACAAGATTATGTAGGTGTTAAACTAAGAGGCATTATTCTGGTTCGTCCACCCCCTTCTGTTTCTCGGCACAAGCCTTCTTATGTAACAACAGCATCCATCTAATGTGTCATTTTTTCCCCCTGCCCAACTCAACAATCTTACTATCCTGAGTTGTGTTTTTCAGGTTTGAAGTGTGCGTGCCCGCTGTGCACCAACCACACCTGTGAGACGGCCCCAGACGGGGCCTGCTGGAACTCTGTGATGCTGATTGACGGGAAGGAGGAGACGGTCAAGTCCTGCCTCTCGCCCTCCGAAATGAAGGGCCAGGTTTTCTGCTATAGCTCAAAGAATGTCTCCAAGAGAAACTGCTGCTTCACTGACTTCTGCAACAACGAGACTCTGCATCTGCACTCAGGTATCCTCAACACGATGCTTTTAAAAGACCTGCTCTTTTCCCTACTTTAGGTCATTTTCTATATTTACAACAATAGGGATTAACATTTTAGTAGTGGCGTTAAAGGAGAAAAAGACATGAAGGTGGGGTTATTAAATCCAAGCAAACATAATTTCATCCCTGCAGACAGACTGTTAATCTCAGTCGTTTTCAGAGTTATGCAGTCAACAGAAGCACCAATCCAATCTGTGAGGGATTTTCCCACTCGTTCTGGTCCTGACCAGACGAGGTGGACGCTGATCCGTCTAGATCCTGTGACATAACAATGCTGGCAGAGGTTAGGAGACGGCCCCTCCCCTGATTTATAAATAAATAGCATGTTGTCCACAAAGCTTTTCACAGGCCTGCTGGGTGGAACCATTGAGGAGGAGGGGGTGGTTGTTTTCTCACACCTTTGGAACTCACTGGGAAACACTAGAGACAGGATAACACATTATGTTGTGTTTCCTCTAGTTTTAATCATGCCCACACTGACACCTCGGCAATTTAGTTTCATTATAGCTTAATATAAACTAAAATTTCATAAATAAATCTGACACAAATCCTTGTTGCTGCGTAAATCACTTATAACCTCAAATCTGACAAAGTTGGGACGTTGTTAAAGGGATCCCTGATTAGTTGTAACATTAGACTTTATTTGATAAACATATATTTTAACTGTAAAATAAAGACCGCAAAAACACTGTAGGCTGTTTACTTTAGTAATTTTTTTAAAATATATTTTAACACGAACGGAGCCATTTTATTTACACACAAAGCATTCTGGGTAAATGATGATGTGGATAGGTCCTCGGTGCGAGGCTGCTAGCGAGCTGTATCCACCCTGAAGGTTAATCTTGGACAATATCTGATGATCGACTCTTTTAAATGAAACCAGAGAGCGTTGACAGAGAGGAGAAGGTAGAAATGACTCAGCCTGTAACTGAAAATATGGATGGAGGACAACAGAGCTGCTTCATGGAAGAAGAACCTCAGCTTAGCCTGTTAGCCTTTGCACTAGCCCCGAAGCTATATTGCCTTATATGTATTAGCTCAGCGTTAGCGTGACAAACAAGCTAAACTGAGGTCCTCCATCCATATTTTCAGTTGCAGGCTGAGTCATTTTTGCATTCCCCTCTCTGTCATGTGGATGGAGGACCTCAGTGACGAGAGGAGAATGTGTAGCGCTGAGCTAATACATATATATAGTGATAGCGTCGGGGCTAAAGCTAAAGCTAACAGTCTAAGCTGAGGTTCTTCTTCCATGAAGCAGCTCTGTTGCCCTCCATCCATATTTTCAGTTACAGGCTGAGTCATTTCTACCTTCTCCTCTCTGTCAACGCTCTCTGGTTTCATTTAAAAGAGTCGATCATCAGATATTGTCCAAGATTAACCTTCAGAGTGGATATAGCTCGCTAGCAACCGATGATCTATCCACATCATCATTTACCCAGAATGCTTTGTGTGTAAATAAAATGGCTCCGTCATATACAGTAAATATATTTAAACTTTTAGTTTAAAAATTATAAAAACTAAACAGCCTACAGTATCTTTACAGTCGTTATTTTACAATTAAAATATACATTTGTTAAATAAAGTCTAATGTTACAACTGATCCTGATCCCTTTAAGACGTATGAATTAAAACAGAATGCAATGATTTACAAACCTCATGAACCCATATTTCATTCATAATGGAGCAAAATAAACATAAAATGTTTAAAGAAAGAAATTGCACCTTGTCTTTTGGATGATGAGATATAAGTTGTTGGAGTTTTTGGAGACTGAAGTCGTCTCATTCTCGTCTGATGTAGTATTTTAGTCATTCAGCAGTCCTGCATCTGCGCTGGAATTTTGGTTTCATGATGCATCAAAAGTTTTAAGTTGATGGGAGATCTGGACAGAGGACAGGTCAGTTCAGTACCTGGACTATCCTACTATGAAGACACAATGTTTTAAAGAGGACATGCCATGGTTTTAAATCCTGCTTTTTCACATTTAAACCATTCATTTGGGGTCTGTGTAAAGTGGAACTGCAATGCTTTGTTTAGAATTCCTCCTTATTGTAACTCCACAAGCCCCTCTTTCACCCCTTTTCCTGAGGTATGTCTCAGATCAACCTGTTTTGAGTTTGTCTCTTCAAAGCCAAACGAATATGTCAACAACAGAAGACTTGTCCATTGGAGCCAGAGGAGTTGGTAATCATACGTTATTTAGAATTTCCATCACAAATACTGTGACATAATGGTTCAGAAAACATCATAGAAAACAGAGAAAACTGAATAAGTTGAAAAATTTGACCCAAATAAAATATAAAGATATCTACGCAGCACCAGGAGAGACTAAATTAAAATTTTCTGCACTCCTAAGGACTCCAGGTACACAACAACATACATTTAATGGCTAAATAAGTGGATTTTGCATATGTCCCCTTTAATAAATGCCGTTTGCAGTTTAACAATAGCTTACTGAAATATGCATGGCCTTCCCTCAAAATAAGCATCATCTTATGGTTTAATTTCAGATATTTTGGTGGCCCTCATAATAGATAATAATGCACCCCCATACCATCAGAGAGGTAGATTCTTGATTTTTTTTATTATGTTGTGGACTGTGTATTCAGAGTTTTTCCAATATTCAGCATCAGTGTGTGAATGACTGTAGTGTGAAGCGCTTTGGAGTTTGTGGGGACGTGTTACAGCGATATCCAAGTTCAGGCCATTTACCATTTTCCACTGAGGAACATTTTTCTAAAATTGTTCCATTGATGTTAGATGTTAGTTCACCTTACAGAAATACTTTCACACAGTGAATAAAGTCTTTTTGTTGTGATGATGACGTGTTAGAGGTTTCGGGGCRTATAGATGAACTTAATTGGGTTTTTAAAAAAGGCGTGGCAGTGTGTTGGTGAGCGCATGAGGACAGGACCCTGAGGCTGTGGTGGTGTTGACTGTAAATGAGGGCAGCACAATCAATCAGTTTCGTACCGCTGTTAAAAACACCATGTGAGCACATGCTGTGTGTTAGTGCTATTTCTACGCAGGCTGCATAGGTAAGAGGGACTTTAGAGTTTCAAATTGCAATTTTCTTTTTATGTGTTGACAAGAGAAACTTCTGTCATTTATACTTAACTGTCCAAAGGCAGACAGTCACCTCCCAGCACCCCATGCAGACAGCTACAGTTTGTAGGAGGCCTAAAGCTATTGGGTCAGAGGAGAGTACAGTCTTGTTTTGCACCATATCTTTTGAACATCACTTATAACTCTAGTTGGCAGGAAGTGAAATTAGGTAAAAGGCTAAAGATGTCTTAGGAAATTGTGGTCGAGTTCACAGTTTTTTTTTWAATTTATTTATTTTTGCTTTGCTCACTGGACAATTTGCAGATGCTAAACGTTTAAACATCTGCTGATGAGGAAATTTCAAGCTCCAGAGATTTAGGCTGATCATGATGTTCATGACAAATGAAAGTTTTTTGAGTTGGTTTAATGTTGAAGTTGCTGTTGTGCCAAAGCGAAAATGTCGTAACGGTAGCATCATAAAACGGTTTGCTCTGCCTCATTTTATCAGCAAGTCCCTAAATCTTATTTTACCAAGGCACCCACCTTCTTTGATATTTTTAGTTGTGCCCAGGTTTTCTTCGTCCATTCACAGAAGTGTCAAATTACTATTTTCTTATTTTTCTCCCAAACACATAATGTTACTACTGCACAGTCTCTGAGTGCACCTGCTTAATAAAAGTAATTTGAATTATAAACAAGTAAAACTTTTCTTTACAAAACAAAATTTTCAAGTGCTAAAAGCCTTTGTATTACTTTATAAATGCATTTTATAAGCAATAATTAAATTTCCTTGCACTCAAATAAGATGAGTATTTGCAGACAGAGCGCTGTGTTCCCAAATTAATTTGCAGTAATACAAAAAGATGTCTCTAAACATGTTAGTGTGTTTTAGACTTTTAAACAAGTTTTTATGTAGGTTTTGAAACAGCAGCATCATGTGTTCAGCTGAAATGATGGTTTTGGCCCACATTGTTGCAGTGTCCACAAAATACCACTAGGGGGAGCAGCAGCTACAGGAAGCCACCACCATGCATGAAGCAGACGAATTTAATTGCAAACTCTCTCATATTTGAACTATTTGTCTAAACAACTGAGTGAGCATTACAGGGGACACAAATAAATGCTTGCAATAATAATTGTGTTTCTTTGTAAATGTTTGTGCGTCACCAGAGAGACCTTCAGAAGAACCAGGCTGGAGCGGGCTGCAGCTCACTGTTGTGATCCTGGTGCCCTGCTGCCTGCTGTGTCTAGGGGTCCTGCTGGGCGTGTGCCTGGTGCAGGGACACCACTGTGCCTATGGCAGAGCCCACAAGCAAGACCCAGAGGAGCCCCTGGATGACCAGATGCTGATGTCTCCTGATAAATGTCTCAAAGAACTGATCTATGACATGAGCACCTCCGGCTCTGGATCAGGTGAGAGAAATACGGTCAGTTTGGATAGCCTACAGGATGCTGCGAACGTGTGACCCTAAACATCCAAGAAAATATTCTAAGACCCCATATCTGCAGTTTTTGTGGGTTTTAACAACAGTGATGGTTTGTAAAAACTCAACATTATTGGAATTTAAACACATGCACTGATTTTTATTTTATTTTATTACTGCTTTAACTATGTGTTTGGACATCCATGTCTTCTAGCATATATTAGGGGGTGCTGTAGCACTCTTTGCTTCCCTACTTCTCAAAACACTTTTCCTTTGTTTTAACTAGTACACTCTGTGTCTCGCAGGACTTCCACTGCTGGTCCAGAGAACCATAGCTCGAACCATTGTCCTGCAGGAGACCATCGGAAAAGGTCGGTTTGGTGAGGTGTGGCGAGGGAAGTGGCGAGGGGAGGACGTGGCCGTGAAGATCTTCTCCTCCCGGGACGAGCGGTCGTGGTTCCGGGAAGCAGAGATTTATCAGACCATCATGCTCCGGCATGAGAACATCCTAGGATTCATTGCTGCTGATAACAAAGGTGCCAGCTAAACACACCTGATGTTATCAACTTCTAATCACATCTCTGAGATAACTGTCATTTTATAGCTGTGTAATTTGGTTTATTCTGCAGATAATGGTTCCTGGACTCAGCTCTGGTTGGTGTCAGAGTACCACGAGCATGGCTCCCTGTACGATTACCTGAACAGATACACAGTTTCAGTGGAGGGCATGGTTGTTCTGGCTTTGTCCATAGCCAGTGGATTAGCACATCTTCACATGGAAATCATTGGTACACAAGGTAACACTATTTTTTACAGTTTCAATTTACAAATTAAACCACATCATAGTGATCTCATACTGGAAAATATGAAAAATAATGCATTTCTGTGCAAAGTAAAGCCCTAATAGCAAATAATAAATGTGCTAAATWATAAATTTTGATCATAGATTTATCTTATGGTTTAATAATGAATCATTTTGAAGCAGCAATGCTTACCCAGGACCTACTTATGAAGGACCCTTGAAAGCTCAAAAACATTTTTTCAATTATACAACACATTTTCAGTGCTCATTAGCTTTTTATTTTAAAATGCCATCTTTCTGTAGGGAAGCCTGCGATCGCTCATCGAGACCTGAAGTCTAAAAACGTTCTGGTGAAGAAGAATGGGATGGCGGCCATTGCCGATCTGGGTCTGGCCGTTAAACACAACTCCAGCACGAACACCATAGACATACCGTTCAACCACAGAGTGGGAACCAAAAGGTGAGAGCACTAGTTTTATGCCCACAAAACAGAGATCTGAAATCAGAATGAAGGAACAGAAATTGTGTGTAATATTAGCCGGGGGKGTGTGAACAGCCACTCTGAAACAAGTTATTGTGATGTTAAAAAAAAGTCATAAATATTCAATAATTATTCAACAGGTGAGACAGATACAAACATAGCATATAGTGTGTGTGTGAAGTCAACTTTGACTAATAGCAAGACCAGGCAAAGCCCATGGCAGGTTAGGGAAACCTAACAAGTGGCATAGGCAGCATAGGCAGATACTGAGGGCCCTATCCATCTAAGGGGCACCACAAATGGGGGACGGAAAAAAATATTTTAAAACTTTTTATCAGAGTATTGTTGATTTAGTCTGTAGAGTAATCAGTGTTCACTCAGGTTTATAAAGGTAACTTGTTTTCCAGGTTTCTCAGTCTGCTTTACTATGAGGTGTTATATGGTGCAGAGGATATTTCATGATAAAAGTATCATATGATGCAGTCAAGACTAACTACTGGTGCTCAGTGTGTAAACAGAAAACAAAATAAGGATAACGGCTGTTTTAGTTATGATCTCAGATAAAGTTCAGGGTAAAGTCTGGTTTTTTACATTCATAAAATACTGATTATACAGGTGCTGGTCATAAAATTAGAATATCATGAAAAAGTAGATTTATTTCAGTAATTCCATTTAAAAAGTGAAACTTGTATATTATATTCATACATTACATACAAACTCATATATTTCAAA